TAAAAACTAGATTCGTTTTTAGAAAAACTCCGACGTCTAAACGTCTAAGCGTCAAATGCCTATAAACAAAGTTGATAACGTCATACATGGATTTTTTTTAAAGAGATTTAGATATCTTAGACTTTCACAAGAAAATGTTGAAAGTTGTAGTGTAAGGGAGGTTAAGTATTATTTGGTATATTTCAAATTATATGAGTTTTAATGATTCGTATTAAGCAATATATCTAGATATACGTTTATATCTTTGGTAATATTAAAAAACCAGAGAAATAATATAACTTTTCTAAACTAAGCTTTTATATATGACTACTAATTAACCCCTTTATAAACGGGTTCACGCCTGTTCATAATATATTTAGGTTTTATGAGTTTACGACATCATTAACAAGGTTTCCTAGAACGCCGCAACGTCACGTTATTATTTTTTAAACGCTTTTTGTCGTTACCTACTCAATGTTTACGTTATCTGTTTCTGGTTTAGAAGGAGCGGGTTTCGTTTAATAGGTCAGGGGTTGGTACGCTTTGGTCCAGTATCTAAAGGTGAAAGGGAATTGATTTATAAACCTGAAATACAAGTAGATATGAATCGAGATAATTTAGTTAATAATAAAATTAATCAAATTGTAAAGAACGTTCAACTTGTTTAAATTGTTGCCAACGTGCCCTAGATTCTTATTATTCTATAATAAATTTTAAATTACCCAATCCTTCTCATGTATCTAATCATAATATTATAAAATTGGTCGTTTATAAATGTCAATTTTGAAAACGTTTGCAACACCTGCATTAGAATTTTTTCAAGGCTTCAGTTTACATGGATAATCGTAAACTTTTGAGAATTGTGTTGTTTTTAAAAAGGTGCCTGAGGTTAAAAACTTAAATCTCTATTATAAATACACTCATTTAAATTGTAATGATACATCAATAATGATAAACATGAAAAATATTCATTTATTTAAAACTTTTTATTGATAAAATGGAGTAGGAAATATAGAAATTCCGTCTGGGTCACGAACCACTGTCCACAGATAAAAAAGCCGTGAAGCTTAATCGTGTTTCGATTTCAGTCTGTGGAACGGATATAGACATGTGTTCGCCCCATGCCCCACGAGGGGGGAACGGGCTTTCACTTTATGTTGTAGTACCTATACCAGAGTTGCTATATATGAAGTATCAATATTGTGCACGAAATCCCCACGTTAATAACAAAACAAATCCACACGGAAGTCCAATAAAACACTAGTGGCATTCTCCTGACAGACATACAGACGAACAAAGCTCTGTGTTTCCGCCGCCTGTTTACCTTACAGACTTTACCGACGTTATTGTGCTACTAAGAACACTACTATGTGCTTCTGATTGCACAGAGTAATGTGCGCATAGATATAAACAATTATATACGAAACTATTTATAAGCTTTAGATTTGCGTTGTTCAAAAACCAAGCAGTTAAAAGTTAAAACGAATAGTATAACTAAGGTTCATAAGGATGTAGGCACGCAATTGTCTGTAAATAAAAATTCATTAATAAAACGGACACAGAAATGAGGATTACAAACATCATTATTTATAATACCAAATTTAATTAACGATCTTTGCACAAGTTTCTTACTTTTCTTGCTCGTTTCAAATTAGTTGTAATGTCTTAGAGGTAGGACAAATGACTACATAAGGTTGCAACACTCACGTTCATTGGGCAGCGTAGATTCGAATCTTGTCCATACCACATTCATTCCATTTTGGTGGAAACTTTTTTTAACTCTATGGTCCGATTAATCTATATTCATAGAAATCAAAGCCGAACGCTGGCCCGCTTCCAGGTGAAGCCAAAGATGACTAAATCCATCGCCAGTGTATGACTATCATGTATCCTTTCATCTCTAATTGCGTTTTCTTATAGACTTGCGGTGTTTTTTCTAATTAGCCGATGTTAAAGCTACTCTATTTACGAAACGGTAGAATTTCAATCTGTACTAATAAGTATTAAAGCAGAAGAGTTAAAACTTCTTCAAGTTCTGTCGAAGCCTAAAGCGTTCCTCAATTATTGGTCTATACAAAAGAACAATTCCTTTTTAATTTGAACCAGTAGTTCCTAAGATTAGCGCATTCAAACAAACTACTATTCCTGTTTAACACTCATTAAATAAGGTAACCAATATAGCGTTGTACAGTTCAAAGAGTTTTAATTATGTAATATTAATAATAATAATTTATTTGTTAAACCATAAATCCCTCCATTTCTTAAAATTAATTAAATCGTTAATGTTTTAAAATGTTTTTAATTTTAAGTGAAGTCTTTACAACAATAATACGATATAAAAAATTCGTTGGACCTCAAAATAAAAATCAACACCCTTATTATTATTAAACAAATAGGTATAAGTATACGGTCTTTTGGCATTAACTTACAAAATCATTTAAATTATATAAGAGATAATCGCTAAGTTTATAATGAAAAAAGCTTTGAGAAAGACTCTGAAGCCTTCTTAAGTTTTTTTTTATGGAAACGCCATTCCCACAAGATGCGGTTTCGATTATATTTCGACAATGTTTTGGCTTTGGAAATTTTCACATCCACAGATAAAAATTCGCGCTATAAGCGGTGGTTTGGGACCCGAATTGTTCAATATTTCAAAATTATAAATTGATTAGAAACACGATGGACTCAAACACACGACCCATTGATTGTTCGCTAACTATTTCTACCATGGGACCCGTTGGTCCCGTCTAACACAACCAGTTACTGGCCCATTTATACTCCCTAGTTCTCAACACCTTCTTTTAAACCTACATCGTTTTGTATAGATAATAAAACTCGCGTTTTCTAAGAAATATGACATTTAAAAACAAACTTTTATTATTCGCTGATCCGAGTCCACAGTTACAGAAACTGTTTGATTATGTTTATTTAATGTTAAATATACAATATCTAGACGTGCTTTGTAGTTGAAGACGGAATAATGGCTCGTTTGATGGTAACGAGTCGCAAATTAGAAATTTAGAACATAGATTATAGAACACTACATACATCTACCACAGATAAAAAATGTAGATTATAGATACCTACGTCGGCAATTCTAATTTTATTGTTTCCACTATGAATATAATTATAATACTAGTATGCTTTATTGAATATAAATCTGATTGTTTATTTAAATAAATAAAATTTAATAAATTGCCCGTGAAAATCGACCTCTGCAACAGATACAAAAACATGTCAACCACGCCCATAGGCAAACTGCAGTCCTAGAAGAGTTTAATCTAACTCATTTACTTGAGTAAAGACAGACCTTGTTTGTAATAAACGCACCTTAAAAGGTAGGAGTAACTTAAATAAATAAACAGTTATGTGTTCTGAGAAGTAACGTCTAAGTACCATTGATACAAGCTACTGACTCTGCTATCCATCTATATGTCTATGTGGGTGGTCTTCCGCGAAAGGAAATCCGATATTTTTATTATAATTCAATATGTTTGTAAGTGATTTATTGATTACGGATTTTGGTAGGATTCGCGTTTCAGTACAGGATATGTGTAATACAAAAATTTTCTTTACGGTGATTTTGCCTACGATACGTCAAAACGATAATATTAGAATATTTTTTCTTATGTAAAAGAAATTGTTCAGACTGCCCTCTTCATTGTGTTGTGTTTTCACGGGATTTGAACACGGGACCTTTTGTAATTAACAAATTGCATTCAAGCGCTAAGCCATGACAATGTCATAAGCCTAGTGTACCTACAAAAAACAGGTTAATAAGTGACCTTTGGGTATTGCCTTTAGTTTACACATTTAACGGTTTAAAACGCGACAAACATATTACTAAATTATTTTCTATTTACTTTAACTACGGACCGACGCGTCGCGACATTACGCATTGTTTGCAGCAGCCGTGGTCACAGGGGGACGTAAAGGAAATTGTAAATAGTTAACGAATAACGAATATATTGCGCGTTTTAAACCGTTAAAAGTGTTTTATTTAAAGGCAATCTTTCTTACTATCAATATTTTCAATGTATATTTTTTAGGTGTTTGGTTTTTACGCCTGTTAAAGTCTCATGCTCTTACGCAATGCCTCTTTTGTATATAATGAAATTAGGTTTACCGGCGGAAAAACTAAATTATTCATGTTTCCGAGTTAGGTAAATTCAATTGATGAATTTATCTGTTTGTTAAGCGTAGTTTCCACGGAAATCTCGATACAGTAGCTCATTGGAAACTCAATAAAAGCGAATCGAATCGTTACAATGATCGACTTATTTATTTAAGTGGTTTACTGCCGGCTATTTCCAGAGACCACACATAAAATATGACCTCCGCGTATTTACAGTACCTACTTACGGCTTTTTATTGTTTTTATTCGGTTTTGTGGGAGTTTAAATGACCGATTGTTTAATTGTAGTCTGTGAAATGTTTTAGTATAAGTAAACTGTTGTTACAGTGGAAACGGCTCACTGATGCTAAAGTGTTTAACACGAACAACTGCTGTAATAACCGTATTTCCGTAAATAATTGTAATGTTATTTCTAATTTGTATGAGATAAGCATATGCTCATATTGTATGAGATATGCCTTATCTGTGTTATGTTTATGTTTAAGAAAACTTAGATTTTTTAAACTTGCCGTTTGAATAGTTTCAATGATTGTTAATGCCATCTACTAGATTTAAGTAAAACTATAACGTTTCACAATATTTGTAAATTGACCAGCTTTAATAAAAAAAAATGCTTAAAAAAAGAAGATTTAATTACGTGTTGTAATAACTGTACAAGTAATAGTTTATATAACTCAGATTTTAAAATTGTTGTTTTGACTCAGTGCATGTCGCTGACATTGACATAAAAACAAATACAGACAGTCATAATGACAGTCTTTGACAGTTTCATCAAAATAAAATAAAAATGTCATGCGCGGACAGTTGTGCTTTGATATCGCGCCGAATTATTTGTGGTTTACTCAGCAAAAATAAATTATTGTGTTCAAATATTAGCAACTTTCATATGGATAATAAACATGAAGCAAAGTCAGCTATGGAAATCGTCAATATTCCACCAATCATCACAACTTACCGGCACGCTTTGCGCACTTTCGACGACAACTTCAAAAACGATTTCACGACCAACTTAAACAAATTAAAATCTATGATGGATAAATTAAAAGCCGACCATCTAGGATTCGACCAGAGCTTCAACGACCCGGGAACTTGGAATCGACCAAACAAAGCGCCGTGTACTTACATAGAAGTGTTTCAAAACAGTGTGGTAAACATGAGTATATTTGTTTTAAAACCCGGCTTTAAAATGCCGCTACATGATCACCCTTATATGCATGGTCTGCTGAAAGTGATATCCGGTGCAGTACGAATTAGAAGTTTCTCAGAGTATCCACTTAAAGAAGTAGTAAGTAAAGTAGATTTTAAGGTCCGGGCAAAACACGAGGCTGCCCGTCTTGCTCAAGGCTTACACAAGCGAAGAAGACTGTTCGCGCAAATATCCCAAAATCATATTTGTAGAGAAGACACAGATACCTGTATTTTAACACCCACAGTATCCAATTATCACGAGATAGAAGCTTTAAGTGCGCCAGCAGCGTTCTTTGATATATTAGCACCACCTTATGATACATTTGTAGAAGGAATAGGCCCCAGACGGTGTAGATATTATTATGTAGTTAATGAGATAAGTACAAATGTAGTTGAATTACAAGAAACCACTGTTCCAGAGTGCTTTTACTGTGACCAGGCACCATATTTAGGACCAACTCTTGCGTAATTAGGATGTTTTAATATGATACAAACTATGAAATACTTTTCGTGTACCCCTTTTTTTTCTTACACATTGTTTTTCTTCTTAATAAAACCCCAAAAATGTCTGCTCACAAAGCGTTTAGCTTGTGACCATTATAAACACCAGTGCATATCATTGTTCCCCTGTCCTATTGTATCAAATATACCCTAGATGCAATAGTTACAATAACTTTTTGAATTTATTTGTGTACATTTCATAGTCTTTTACTTACTAACTCCTAAACACAATTGCTTTTTTCTATTAAGTAACTTACGGATTATTCTCTTCCTAAGAAAAAGTCCTAAGTTCTACTGGCTATGACCTATTTGTAGATAGACGATTGAATGTAAATATTGACTCGCAATATGACAAAGCCCTAGGCTTGTTCGGGAATATGATTCCAAGTTACCAAAAGACAAAAACTGTCACTATCTCTAGTTCAAATATATTTGTGCCTTTTACTTTTACACCAGCTAATGCCTTAGCGAGGCTTTTGTGTGGTGATACATTGGTTACCGCTGTCTTTATGTATATAGTCGTATAATTAGAGTAATGTATGTACAATTTGAAAGTTTTATTAATAAACTAATATCTTTTTAGATCATGTGTGGGTCTTAAAAATAAAAGTAACACAAAGTTAGCAGTTTGAAAAACAATTTGAAATTAGTTTAAGAAAGCTTAAATTAATTATTGTTTTAAGTTACAGTCTCAAATGCCGTCTAATGTTGATCAATTTATGAAACATATTCAGAAAAGGTAAACGTCATTAAATATACTTATACAATCCCATTGATTTTTAGGCCCTTTCTTTTTGTGTTGTAATAGTACTATATAACTTCATTTCATAGAATTTTTATCTTTTGATGGTTCGATATAATTTGATGATTTCACTTCTTAGATATGTCTCAAGTAATGTGATTGACATTGATAACAATGCCCCTTGTTTACAGTCAGCTCTGCCAAGTGCATCAATAAGATACCATTTTGAATAGGCGAGAAGCAATACATTCCTTTAATTTTATTTTTTACATGTAATCACAAAATGAACCAGTCAAAAATATCTGATCTCTTGTAATATTATGTATATTTATTAAAGTATTTTGTGCTGTTGATGTAAGAAAAGTATAATTATAAGATGTCATTATTATTTAGTAAATGATGTGTTCTTGTTAAATAAAACTTAAATTTTGTTGCAATTTTTGGAATTTTATTTTTAAGAGACCTATCACCATCTAAGACCGAAGTGAATCAAACCTTTATCCAAACTTCATTTTAATTATATTGAAAAATAATCTGTGTCTATACGTAAAAGAGTTTTTTCTCTTTGGTATAATTTTCCAATAAACCTAACTCCTGACACACAGAACTTGTAACTACTATCATCAATTAATAAAGACTTCCGCTAGGAAGTTTATTAAGTAATACCAAATCAAATCACTCTTCCAATTTTATTTTTTACAAGATTTGTAAATGTATAAGTAGGTAGGTATGTATAAATAAAACCAAAAACTACTTAGAATTAGAGATTTAATAACGTAACGATAAAATAATTGCAAAGGCACATTAGATACATAGCATAATATCATTCTATATTACATTATTTTACATTTCAAATGAACATATTATTTATACAGACGTAAAAGATATAGATAATGCAAAGGTTTGATAACGTTACTTTTTAAGACTATAATCAGTGAATTAATAATATATCTTGTTACAAATATTCGATCGGCACTTTTATCGAGAAATAAGGACGAATGTCCATTCAGTTCACATAAGGACAAAAGATTTGAGAAAATAAATTTTAAACAAAAAATTATTAAACTAAAACACTTTAACGGTTTGAAACGCGATATGTATTAGTTAAACTTATTTGAATGATCATAATGCATCATGGCGGAAGCGGAAAACAAGTATGTAAATAATTTTAGTCTATTTTCAGCCTGGACACTGTATGAAGTGGTCATTCCTCTAACTTAAAAATGCCCTTAATCTATAAGCTATCGTGACATGTTTGCGAATTTACAAGCTAAACAACAAAACTTATCCGCGAAACCCAGACAGCTCTTATCAACAGCTGCAAAAACTCTCACGTATTTATTATCGGTGATAAGAATCCAGATAGTTTCTGAGCACGTATGCGCAGGATCAGCATTACTCACGCAACTAAATGCTTAGAGGAAATCTTTTTACATAATCCTAAATATGTCGGTGAAATGTGATGTTTCTATCACAGAAAACATTATTTATTGTGATATTCTACGAGAATATTCTGCGACATACAAATTATATATTGCTAGAATTTTCTTCAGACAATAAGATAAGCGATAACATTTTAAAGTTGGGATTTAGTTTCGATTTTAATCAAAACAACAATATCTTTTATTAATATGAAAATAAGGCATAAGAATACAGTTTAACAAACTTGATAATAAGACATTAAATTTTGTTTAGAAATTTCAAAAGGATTACAGTAAGAAAAAATATTTTTTTCTCTAAAACAAAGCGGTTATGCGTAGCAAGAATAAATCCTAAGAAAACAGACATAATCCTTTGAATATAATCTAAGTATTACAATAATAAAAACACATTAATCTTTTCAATATCAAAACATCGAAAAGTGATACATTTTATCAACAGATGGTAGATTTTGATAAATTGTATTATTAGATTTAGTAATATTTGATATCAAGTTATTTATACTGTGTACATTATTTACGTTTTAAGCTTTACAAGCAGTTTACGATCGAATATTTTTACAAATATAAAATATCTCAAGAAAATTATCTAAATATTAAAAATATTTTTTTAGTAAAACCTTATTCGAGTGAAATATATTAATCGATTTGGTTTGATAAAACTGTTCTTCCTGTTTCGAAGTCCCGATAAGACCGAAAGCGAATCTTTTAACATATGTATGTTGAAAAAACTTTATTTTCTTTGCTATACGTCAATTTATTCATACTAGATATAATAAATCATGACATAATATTTCTCAAAATTGGTACCGAAAATGTCACCAGCATAATACTGATTAAAAGAGAATGAGAGAGAATTAATGAAAATAGTGAGGGTTTGATGACGTCACTTAATAAAAATTATAAAAAAATTCAAGCCTTTTGTATTAAGCAGCAATTGAATATTGAAAGGAATTATGCTTGGACAATTCGTGTAATGTTTTAAAGAAATACTATATCCCAGGCAAATAGTCGCTCTATTATATAAGATTAGTTGTGCAGAGAGCTAATATGTGTGAACTTAACGACAATCATCACAATACCGTTGCCGTAATCGGCTTTTACCACTCCCTCTAAATTCGTAGGTACATCGCTGGCAAAATCATCCTTTTCGCTGTGCCCAAGTCTGTTTAATTGAATGACAAGCTAACTCGCCTTTACGACCATTAAAAAAAGGGGGGGGGTTGAGTTAATTTATTTGATACCATACAAAGCGTTATAAACCCTTTTCAACTGTCTTTAATGACCTTTTAACAAGCTGTACTAGCTACGTTGTACCATGTTTCTAGACTTCTATAAGTTAGGCTGATAATCGTTTGCTTAATTCCCAGACCCCCCCCCCCAAGCTTGACTGCTAAGACAAATTCCGATAGCACTCCAGTGATATTAAATTTTTACTTGGGCTTTGGGCTAGGTATAGACTGAAATATGTAATTATTATCATAAATGGAATGACTATGCCATATACATACTTCCTAAAGGTGTATCGTTACCCTATTATTATATAGATATGTTCTAAGTCTTATACCAGCCCCAAATAAAATAAAAACTGAGCAAAACTAACAACCTCAATATTCGAATCGATAATTTGGACTAGTTATGTTGTACTGTTAATCTCGATCGACTAGTATTCAAGTTATAACCCAAATAATTATCTATGTATATATTACATATCCATGTTAAACATACTTGTAAATTGCCATATTTTTTAATAAAAATTTATATTTAATGGCATTTATATTGTCTTGGAAGGTTTAAATTATTATTTACTTAATTAGTATGATGAAACCACTGTTAAAAACACAACAATTACATGTTTTAATTTATATATTGGAGACTTTTTAATAAGTATTTTTCGCCATTTTATATTTTTGTAATATGAAATGAACACACTTTGGAAGAAGCACTTGTACTTGTTGTGTAAGCATTTGTGAGTTGGACGGTCATCTAAATTTACAGCAATGAAGCTGCCATATAAAAAAAAATACATTCTGCAATTATTGCTACGTTGTTCGATAAGTAGAGTTTAAATGACATATCTTTTATGTAAAAAAAAGTATCTTTCAATACAAATGTTAACTTTGTAAGTCAAAGTTTTGTCTCTGTCACACAAATGATTTTTATAACAATGTATGTAATGTAATGTATGAAAGTGACAAAACATAGTTCGCTTTATTATGTCTAGCTAGGCTAGTCTTTCACATTGCCTCTTTGTCACGCACGGGCCAATTTACAAGTTGAGTGAAGGAGACAAAATATTTTAACAACTTTCGTGTATTTTGGTTATTTAGTAGTTTTGTTCAAAATTATATATCTGACAGTTGTCTTATTGTTATCTTTTTAATATCTTTCAGTACTATAATTGAGATTATATTTACTATATTTTATCTAAGCTGGTAAAGAGGGCCGATCCCCAACACCACCGGCCAAGTCGAAAACAGCCTGAGACACTTCTGCTGCCAATTTTTCCGCGGACTGCAAAAGAATTGAATATTATTTCCTAAGTAAAATGATTCATAATACCTTAAAATTGTGTTAAATATTGTGTACAAGCGTCATGATAAAATTATATATACATAATAAAATAAAACACTATTCTGTGTTAAGCCGCCTTTGAGGCCGTAAATAAAATCGATCAGTGAATTAAACGAAATTTTATCATATCAGTCAGTAAATGTGTTACCAGTTGCAATATTTATATCTCTTAGTATTGTCATTAACGCCATCTAGCGAAAACTAGAAGTACTCACATCCTGCGTATCTGCCTCAGCGTAAACCCTTACAATATCTTCGGTCCCCGACGGCCTAACAAACGCTCTTCCACTGTTGTATTTGGAGACCAGTTCGTCGATTTGGCCTTGAAGTGCTTCTGGCGATGTGCATTTACGCTCGGCATCTGTGGTCTTGATTGCGTTGCGATCCTGTATGAAGAAATAATAATTATACAAACGAAGAAAACTGAAAGGTTACATTTTTCTTTTAATTGTATTGATTGATTTAACGGTCGCGTGTTCGGTGGTAACCGGTAACCGTGTTAAACATATTTTTAAACCCCATTATTATTTTTTTATTAAATATATTGGACTTAATCTGAAAATCTCCATATTAAATGGGTGGTATGAATATCGAAATTCATTCACGAAACACAGATGGCAAAAACAAAAAATGTAAACCTGTGTCAGTTTTAGTCTGTGGACAAAATGCATATACATTATGACTATAGTCTAGAAATTACCTCAACAGTCACTTTGAGTTGCCTGCACGGCAGATCCTTATACGAATCCATCCACTGCCTAACGTCGTGCCCCCTAGCGCACAGCACGGTCTCGACCAGGAAAAGGTCAGAAATGGCGTCGCCAACCGTCTCGTTGGTCATATCTATGAAATTGAGCAATAGCTGAGCCGCCTTTCGCTGTTCTGTGTCACTGAAATATTTATTTAACATTCAAAGTTCAATATAAAATGTAAATATTTGCATAATACGTTTTTTTACTATCAGATTTTTATGAGATATTCGTGTCCGTAAATTTTACGGAAAACAATTTTATCGATTTAAAACTCGAAGTATTAGTTAAGTCATTCATTTTAGCTGTAACTAAAGTGAATGAATGAACACATGTTTCGGATGGTTTGAAGCAACCGTGGTTACGGGAAGTCTCAAGATTGAGGGCGCCACTAATATCAAAGTCAAATTTGCTACGCTAGCGCCATCTGTTTCATTGAAAATGATATATGGACCTAGTTGCTGGAAACTTAACTACTACATTTCACGTTCTAATCATCTAATGTTCTAAAAATGTACTACTTGCATAAACTACAGCAAAACTTGGCCTACAATGTAACGAATACGTTTTTAAATGAACTACTGACTCGGTTTCTTATAATGTACCGGTAATTTAATAGCGAAACAAACTTTTCTACTTATTATTAAAAAAAAATGATGAAGCAGAGAACTCACCCTTCTTGGGCAACCTTGGCTATAGTGCTTTTGGCGACGTCACTGTACACTACAGTCCCGTGTCCATTGGCCTCGAAGTACACACCGATGTCGTATGACAACGCTGCATGGTGTAAATGCTTAACACCCGTCTTTACGCATGTGACTGGTACTTTCTGAGGAAAGTTAATAAATACCTAAACCTACATAAAATTACCTAATATTTAATTTACCAGACGAAGTCTAACATGTTTCAGAAAAATTATATTGATTAGAAACCTATTGAAGCCGGTGGGAATAGATTCCATAACCCATTGATTATTAGCCGTACCTTTACCATTACACCAATGAGCCCGTCAAAATCAAATCAAGGTATAATTGACTAATCAGTTTTAGGAGTGAAATCTTCCTATGAGAGAATTAGACGCTTCGTGACGTAACGCGTTATAGTTATCAGTTCCCCCCCCCCCCCCCCGCCTAAAAACTTTTTTTTTTATAGCTTAGATCAATATAAACCCAATTTATTCTAAACACTGCTTACCAAATCTTCCGTAATATATTTCGTAGATCCACCGTTGGCATATGCAGTCTGCACTAACCCAAGTCGCAAATGTGTCGCATCGCATGCTTTTAATGATTCCGTTATATAGCTGGCTAATAACGTCGCTATACGGTCCCCGTCTAACAGACACATGTTGTTACTAAAATTTAAAACACTTGTCAACGCTAATATTAACAATTGTATATACATTAAAATTGAAATAAATTTATGAAATAAATTTATAAATTTAGTCAATTTTATACTGAAAACCTCATGAAATGCAACATGGTCCTTCGAGCCGGATTGCATACATATTACTTCCAATTTCATGAGTGCATTCTAAGAAGACAAAGTAAAAGCTTTTTATCACAGTGGACTAACCTGTCATCTACATAATAGTAAACGATTCTATCTCCATCGCCGTCCAATGATGCAACTCTTTGGAAAGGCACAGGCTCTACTCCTACTGGGGGCTTCTGAGACACTTTTACGTAATCTGCTCCACACTAAAAGGGCAGATTTGTTTATTCATTAGAGGAGTTTGTATCATCCAAGAATGGCTTCTAGTAAGTATGACCGTAACACCGTTACTATTTACGGCAACTAAAATGATCTATATTAGTTAGAAGATATAATTACCAAACTTTCCAAGCCAACCAATTACTTGTACAGAATTCACAATATCTTACATTTAAATTTAATTTCCCGCCGTTCCCACCCAAATTGTACAAAACTAGATCCAATTCTCCGTCCAATGTCTTCTTGATGATGTTCAGTTTCTTTCCCCCCACGCCATTTGCGCCGTCAACGTGTAAAGTTGTGTTGTAATGGCCGAATACTGGTAACTTTTGACGTATGTTTTTGAACGCGCCGACAATTTTTTCGTAATAGCCTGGCAAAAATATTGTAAATTAAACTCAGCATATATATATAATGGATAAACAGGAAATATTATTTTAATTTAATTTTTAATTCAATATAAACATAAACTGTAGCTTAATAGTTTCAAACATAAAAATACCTTCTTCTGTCGGTGTGCCATACGTGTTGTCGTTTCGGCACTTCACACAAAAATGCAACATGGGAGTAGTTACGATGCCAAATTCTTTTGCTGTTCCCTTCAGCGCCATAACTCCATGAACCGCCGCGGCAGCTAGACGCGGGCTTGTGTATCTGAAAAGTGTTCATGAATATGTCATTTTTGGAGAAACAAAAAAATACGGGTTGCACTCTGGTATGCCAGAAGTAAAAAATAATAATATAAATGTTCGTCTGCAGAGTTCCAATTAATTTATATATGTAAAGATAGATGGATATATAAAGGTTTGCAAGTAACCGTCTCGTATGCGTCTTCAAATACGTTAGACGTGATTTAGAATTTATACTATTTTCATATTTAAATAAAAACTCTTTTACGGTTTAAAAGGAACCGTGACCACGGTTGCTACAAAGCAACCGAAACGTCGAGCCATAGTTAAATTAAAATTTCAAATAAGTTTAACATAAATATATCGCGTTTTAAACCGTTAAAGTGTTTTATTTAAATGTGTACTAATCGTACTTATTTCCTAATCCAGTTCGATAATCGTTCATATATATCTAATATATCTTGCATATTTTAGCATAGGTAATAGCATACCTCGTGTCCATACCAATATAAACGCTGGCCTTCAAACCCATGTCAGCGTTTACTTGTTTGATGACTTGTTCCGTTGTTGATTCCAAGTCATTGTCACTGAAAAATGATTGACAACATTTTAAGGTCATTATACTGAGTTTAGTAAAAGTAATAGCACGTTTTATGCCTCCGTTGTCTAGCACGAAAGTTTCGGGATTCGGGGAAACAATTAAGTGTTTCGGTCGGGCAGAGCACAGAAGTCTGATCAACTATGAACAAAAGCTAAACGAACCCGAAATGTGTTCGCTCCATGCCCCACAAGGAGAAACGGGATCTTGCTAATATAATTTTTAGGATAAGACAAATTTAGTCAATCTTCAAGTATTACTTTCTGTGTGTTGATTGAACATTAGTTTTTGAAAACTTTAATTTTTTTTCACATGTTATTGCACATGAAGGCGCTATATAATTAAAAAATCTAAAATATTTAAATTAAAAAAAAAATTTCGACTCGGGTAGGACTTGAACCGGCATCGTCAGCGTTCCGTGCTGTTGCTCTTGTTGTTCAAGCAGTTTTGATTGTAGAGGTCTTTTAAATTACATTAGTTTTTTTTTATTAAAAAAACGAAAGAAATGTATAAATAATAACACCAGGCAAATAAAAAATAGTTGCCTCGCGATTTTATACGTGAACTTTGACACTTGCCAAGTATACTTAAGTTGCTTACCTTGAAATAAGCAACATCTTAGTATAGACGTTGAAAGTTATCTCTAGACATGTTTAGCCTTTCGCGACAAGGAAGTATGTTTTGATTGAAAAGTAGGTGACCGCGGCTATTTTTCGGGCTTACAGTATAGTCCGTTCAAATCCGAAGAAACAAAATATAATAATTTCGATCATACATTCCTAAATTAATGATGCCCTATGTTTATAAATTAAAAGGCGTTTGTGTGGTTTATTAAGGTAACAGACCAAAGCAATTACCCAAAATTTAAAGCTAAGGCCGCTGAAGGTTAGCTTAAGTCAGGCTTAAATATCAGATAGTAAAAGATATTTCTTACAAGTTTTTCTAGTTTTGAATAAATGAAACCATGTATAGCTTACAATCAACGAGTTGTATGTGTAATGTTAGTATATAAGTAATTATGCTTGTCTGTCTTTTATCATATAAAAAAAATGTACAATATGCATGTCTATTGCATCCAAGACAATTCCTTTTAAAAGATCTTTTACCTGACATTCGCAAGCCTCGTAGCTATTTCCTCCCAGCTCTGTTCGAGCATTTCACCATCTGGGTCGATCAATTTGACGCCGTTGTCTGGCTCCAGGTTGTGCGAGGCTGTGATCATCATGCCGATAGTACGACCTGGAATGACAGTGATATTGCTATAGGAGAAAAGTTTATGGTGCACTATCAGCAACTAAGATTAATAGTGTTTGGAGTTATTAATCGAATGTATACTAACAATATGAAACTAAAGAGCTTGTTTGTTTGTTTCAAATTGAATTTTTTTTTTGTTTATCTAGGATGCCGTTTAGCTATAAAACATCACGCTGAGAATAGGAGCGAAGTAACAGTGGGATATGTGGAAAGAACTGGGAAAATTATTCATGTTTTGGAGTTTCTATTGCATCTTCTTGGAAACGGTTCGAGATAACCAAATATGTACAAAAGAATGGTTTCTCTTTATATGATCTAAATAAATGTTTGCTACAGTATATAGCCCTTTTGTTACCAATTATTTGTTGAGAGCTGTATCAACATTATTAATCTCGCAAACAACAGAACAACGTTTGCCATATCAGCTAGTGAGATTTATAATATTCGATAACAAAGGTGGTAGTAGAACCCTTCGACAACAGCGTCGTTAGAAGCAAGTTCTCTTTTGTCAAGACTGGTAATATGCACCTCTCGACTGTTGTATAATAGTAACAAGCAGATGTCGTAGATTTGACTCCTGGCCGTGTCATCGAATTTTATATTTATATAATAATTATCGACTTATTGCAAGCGTATTCCGAGAACCGTGTAAATATTAATCACTTCGACAGATTACAGTGGAACCACGCCCGATTAGATCAGAGATAGCGAACTACAATTAGTATTCTAATGGTTCTCGATATAGTTAGTACTATGCTGGTGACCTGTTTACCGTTCCTAGAAGAATAAGAGCTTAATTACCTGAATGACTAATGCATTCGTTGGAAGCTCTGCATTCATTTAATTCATATGACTGGCTCAATCGTTAAACGCAGTTAGCATTGCTTTAAGGTAGAAGGTCTGGGTTCCGAACTCACACTGTAGTACACATTGAAATAAAACACTTTTACGCGTTCAAAACGCAAAATATATTAGTAAACTTATTTCCATTTTTTACTACCGACGTTTCGGATGCTTCGCAGCCGTTTAATTTTAATTGATGATTAGTAATATATATCGGGTTCAAAACTGTTATCAGTGTTAAAAGTCTAATAAATTATTTGTTAGCCTGTAAAGCAAAATTAATATAGAAATCACGTAGGGCATTTCGCACCACACAGTCATTATACATACTAAACTTTCTAAAAATCATATTCATAGGTACTTATAATGCTCTATGTTTTGTCAATATAAGTATGCACATTTATTTAACGGTCTATTCTAAGTCAATCGCCCGCTGTAAGTCATTATAAGAACCTAACATTTATATATGTGCAAGATGTTTTTTTTATATAAAACTTGTTGTCGCTGATTTCAACATCACCAATTCGAGACGTAAAATCTACATTTATTTATCGTGTACTCGCTAAACTTTGTAAAAGCCAGCCCAGCCGTTTGGCTGTAAATTCAATCCATACATTAGTAGTAATTACTCAGAATTCTATCGGAGACACACTTTTATTTAATTATTTATTGGATAAGGACTGACGAAATTTTATCACAATTATAGTAGCTTAAACTTAAAATATGCAAAAAAAAAACAAAATTGTGTAAAACACTTATAGACAGACACAACATGCAAGGCAAAGACAAAGTGAGGACTAAGTTGTACAAGAAGGAAGTCATTGGAAAGGTTATTACCTGATATAAAACGACTATATAACTAAATTAAACTGAGAGGGCTGAAGACAACCAAATTACTAAGTTTTCTTGTCCACCACTGTATCTTACGGTCAACATTAAATTCAAACTCAAAACATTTATTTCTAACATGCTATACTAATATATAAAACTTACGAGTTTGTGTGTTTACTATAATAATATAATGCCCAAAATAAATAAGAAACAATTTGTGGAAAAGGGAACATTCGGCTTGTGTTCCACCACTTAAGAGTAGCGGCGAGGCCCCAGGTTTCCAGTGCCATACGAGGGATAAGAAGCAATTTACATTACGTAAGCCATTACAACTTTAATCCCTCATTTGACCTAAAAACGTAAGTGGATCCCGATAGTATTAATCGGATCAAGGCATCGGAAGTCAGAAGGCTAGCCTCAAAGGTCGCGCATTCAGCTTACCGATGTAACTGATATTGATTGAAGCTATTACTAATGTTTTTTTATTATAGGGAAGGATAGAGAAGAAGGGCGCTGTTGGTCTTTTTCTTGAAACGCGATTAAGCTTCACGGATTTTTCGATATTCTTATCCATTTAATATCCAGATTTCCTCTGAAAGCCCTGCGTGTTTCAGGGAAATTATTAAATCGATTAGAGTAGAATAGATTATTAAACCGTTGCGCCCGGAGGCCGTACTGTACATAGCTACCATTAAACCAACTTAGAGCCCGTCACTGAATTTAACAGAATGGTTATTGCGTTGAGCGGATGAGGACCTGGATCGATAGGGGAAAATTAAAAGTATTAAGCCCGCAAGATGATTGAAATAAGATCGACTAGTATTTATAATTTTACGGTTAATTATTATTTTTATATAGTGTTTACACTAAACGGATAAAAAAGTGTATTATGAATTTAATGAACACCTACTAAAGAACCAACATAAATCTTACATAACAAAAAACAAAACTTCAAATACATCACTTATAAGCCAGTTGGACTTCAATTACCTATTTTATAATTTAGGCTTAGGTTATTTAGTGAAAATGAAAGCTAAGAAAATATTAGAAATTTGATAACATATAACATCCCTCAAACAACAAGTGTGTGCACAAGATAATGTACAATTTCCTTGGCTCATATTTTCTCAAGAACAATGCCTTGCCAGCTATGCTTTAGTATTTTTCTCTTTATGAACAGGAGAATAAGGTTTAAAATAACTTACCATTTTTACATCTCGACCTTATAACAGCTAGCAAACCCATTCGGTAGACTACATGTTCTAAGAGATTTGCTCTGTAAAGAAATAACTTTTATATGCATACTGCAAAAGAAATTATATATAGTTATGTATAAATAAATACGTACTTATATTTTAATTAGAATAAAAGTTAAATTTTACTGTTATATATTTTAAAACTCCATCAGTTAATATTTTTGTTTTGGTATCAACCAGTTGAAAACCACATGATATTAAATGTAGTTTCCAAAAATAAGTTTGGTGTGGCTTGTAAAGCATAGTTTTTTTATGAAAATATTTTTTATGAGTTTAAGATTTGTTTATTAAATTGTTTGCTCTATGCTTTCACTAAAAAATCAATTATCAATGTCCTTATTATTGGTCAAATTGAATCACACACGATAAAGTGAAACAGACAAAAAAATATGTCTACATGATGTCAGTAATAGTTATGTGATCTATTTATAGGTAACTGGATATTTACATTTCATTCTCAAAGGTAAATAAGTACTATTAATCCATCATTGTTTGGCAATCAGCCAAGATATTCAAAGGCACTTTCTTAGTAGGTATATTTTTGTGGAAGATATGTTTATTTTATAATAACGAGCCAGCAGTGTGAGTTTATGTTAAATTGATGATGTTAAAGAATTTTTATTTGCTGGAAATTTTATATTAATGTAGTTGTTGCGGTTTTAACGTTTTTGAACCAGGTATACATACAAAAATGCTAGGTGATAGAAGCTTTGTATACCACATATTACAAAATATATATAATTTTTTATTTATTAAAAAAAATATATATATATATATAATAAATATTTTTTTTTTTATGAATTTGATATTAATAAGACACAATAATAGTTTTGATACATATTGAGACTTCCACAATATAGTTACCACATGCTTAACGATTTATTATACGATTTCGAGCGTTAAATAATTAAACCTACTTATAACGGTTCAGTTACTTTTAAGGTCAGGCAGCAAGAATATTATGTGTGCATATAAACTATAGTGCATCTATTATTTTGTCAGAGCGGAGTCATTGACCAATGTAATTTAGACTTCCCGTTATATGTTATTTATTGGTGACTCATGAATCGTTTACTATGCAGGCGTAAAAGGACATTCCATCCTTTTACAATTTGCTTACGTGACATTGTCTAAGCGGCAATATGCGCCCATTATTTGCCCTAGTTTCGCAATTCTGAGCCGCCTTAAATGGAAAATACGTTCTATTGATTACAGTACAACGAAAATAGTACTCACTTTGTTCGGAATCCGGCAGTGCCGTATTCAATGAAGATGTCTGTTGTTTTCGGGTGCATTTCTCTTGCGAACGCGTACACGACTCGTAAACTACTCGGCGGCATTCTCACCAGTCAAAATATTTTATAAGGCCGCGAAAGAATTCGAGTACAATCACTTCGAATCAACAAACGAGTTGCGATAACTCAATAAACTTGTCCCGCTATGACATTATGACAGCGAACTGCGAAATTCCAATACGAAATGACATTCGGACCTATATCCAGCTGTCAGAATAGATATAATTACTTTAGCGCTATCTATTGGACAGTAGTGGCACTACAACAATGACGTTATAAGATATTGGATAAAGCGGCTATCAAAAGTAGCACTTCCTTTTCCTTTAAGAGATGACACTTAAGTTAAGGACCCTTTGATTTATAATATTTTATTAATAATATGTATCCTTTGAACACTACATCACAGGTTGTAATATGTATGCTTACAGATTTATTTTTAATTAAAAAATTCGGAACAAAGACTCGGCGTCAACTAGTAATTATCATCGCAAACTTGGGTGAAACATGGCTTATGTAAGTTACTCATAATCATAAATAAAGATTTATCTTTAAAGTAAGAAAACACTATCTTCAAGTTACTTACCTCTACTTAATATGATTTAACATGCTGTAATTGAATGTATATGCGTATTGCTTCTATCCAGTCCTATTAATTGTTTCCTGGCAGTAAGCCAAGCGCAACTCTATCACTCATTGGTCCAAATCAAGAATACACATCAAAGTTAATTACATGATAATTAAAGACAAACTAGTAACAAATTTATCTGATCTACGTTCTATATAATAAGTGCAACAAGTCAAAAATATAATTTACTAATATCGATCGATAACTTACCATAACTCTCGCAATTTACTTTTTTCTAAAAGTGTACTGATAATACATACATCGACGTAATTAAAAAAACTTTTATATTATAATGATAATCATATAATATATTATTCTACTATAATAAAGCAACAGAAACTCAAGTTGTATGGTGATAAAAAATATTTTCTTAAAGAACTGCACGAATTTCACAATTTCACCAAAAGAATAATCTAACTTAGAAAAATATAAAATATAATATGCTAAAATTATAGTAATAATAAGTCAAATACAAGACAGAGTTTTGTAACATGATAATGTGATGATTTTGGGTAGTGCTGTCATTAAGGAAATTAGCCGAAACGCGAGCGCATGTGTCTTTATTTATCGTAATTAGTAGAACCGAAAAACATGAGCGCAGATTTCAACTACATACTACTTAACGATACGTAAGTTAATTAATAAAATATATAAATAAATACATATTATAAAAATAATAATAAATAAAGTTAAATAGTTCGAAGTCCAAGACAGTTTCTTATGGAGGACCACTGTGGACCAGACTAAAGTTTTTGAAAACTATAACTTGTTTTTGTTTCTGCGCCAAACAGTCAAATGTTATTATAAAATGAATTAATGATTTTTTGAAACATCGATCCAGTGTTACACTCAAATGAGATGCCGTCAGTATTAGGTATAATTTTCTTCAATCTTTTACAATTTACAAAATCCTTGTGTGCATGAGAAAATTATAGATATTATTTCAACCAGCTTTACAATAAGTACTGGCCGGTTAGTGTTCGAAATTCTAAATTTAAAAATGACAGATAATTACGTCAAATCTGAAGCAGCACAGATAATAAATCACAATTATAATATCCGTCTATCGGCACGGGCGAGCGGTGCCAACTAATTGGCTAATTAGTTTACGTCTGCACTAAACGTAATTAAACGTCTACAAATGGAGTATTGGGAATTTGAAGCTCATGCGAGAAGACTTGCAGATAGATCTTCTATAGCTTCGAATATAGCCTTAAGTCTAAGAATAATTACAGTGGCAATAAACTGATTAAGTGCGTGTCAGATTCTCGCGTGAATGGTTACGTACTATCTAATATATAAAATTCTGTGTAAGTTTTGTTGCCATACTCCTCAAAGACCAATGATAAAGCTTCGGTAAGAAACCCATTTTTTCATTCCCCTAAAGTAAGGGGTAGTCCACTCCTAAATTTTATTTTTTATTTCTTAGACAAAATTTTTAATTTGTATTTTTTTATGATACAACATACAAAAATACAACAATCTCCTTTTCACCCTTCTAGATTATTTAATGAAAAACATGCAATATTTTTTTTAATTTATAGTAGCCTACGCGTGGAAGTCGAAGTAGAGTCAACGTACTTATACACTGATTTTGGCTATCAGTTTTTGTTTTTCAAACCTCCTGTTCAACTCTATAAATCTAAGCTGTTACCCACACGGGTGGTTCTGAAGTTAATCTTACAAAACAGACATATACCTACCTACTGTCGCGGACATTTTTTTAGATCATAATCAATACTGATCATTGTTACTTTCATACACATTTTTTCTGTGTCTTGAACCGTTTTCGTAGCGTACGCAATGGACACTCATAAGGATGAATAATTTTCCCCGTTTTTACATTTCCCGCCGTTTCTTCGCTCCTATTAGTAACAGGCAAGGTTACTAATAGGAGCAGTAGGTTCTGGAGTGGAGTCCACGTACGTCGAAAACCAGGTGGACGGAGAGGTGGAGGTCGTCCGAGGAAAGGCAGGATTCAAGTAGTGAGCGACCCGTCGTACTGGAAGTTTATAGGGGAGCTCTATGTCCAGCAGTGGACACTGAACGGTTAAATCGAAGTTAGTCACAGCGATATACCTATTCTATAGCCGATAAATATTGTAACTAACACAAAAACTAATGTTTCAATTCGAACCAATAGTTTCTAATAAAGGTAAAAACAAACAAATTCTTTAACTATATATATTAGTATAGATTTTAATTTAAGTAGATAATATGTAAGTCTGTTTCATTGTTTCGGGTGTCCTGTTGGTGCTGTTAAAATTTATTAATTTCTAGCAAAAATGGTCAAAGTTTTAGATTTTTTTTTTGTATTTTTGTATACCTAAGTATTTTTTTTATATTTGGTTTTCATTGTTGATCTCTACAGCCTGGCAACAAACATAAAAACTTTGTTTCTAGGGTTCCGCACCTTTAACACACTGGTTCAGGAATAGTAGAAACTAGAAACAAAGACAAGCAGATTATTAATATTTAAAATGTATATTAGCATCACCCGTTGTTACGTAAAGTTATTTTTGTTTATGTCTGTTTGTCAGCTTTTTGATATAGCTCATTCGTTGACTCAGGATAAAGCAAAAACGTGAAGCATGGCAATCAAAAGTGCTATAATCCATACAGTGTAACTACACTTCTAAATTACCCAGCTTTAAAAAAAATAATGTAATAAGAAAATGTTAACAATCTCCAAGATACTTATTTTTAACCACAAGGTCACTGACAAATTTAATTCGGCATTTAAGCTTTATTTACATTTTTAAACGCATCTCCTAAATTAACTCACGAAATTAATGAACTTAGATTGTGTTTAGATAAACTATGATTTATATTAGTAATGCGAAGCGTAAGTTCAAGAATGCCTTTACATAAAATAATTACCTAAATATGCAAGTAATGTTACTTATTTTGAGCGTTAATTGTGTTTTTCCAGTCCAAGCATCTTTAATCTTTCAAAGTAAAACTTAAATAAGAGAGCCAAGTTTAAATTGTTTCTTTTCAAAATCTGGCCATAAAATGCGTGGAACTACCACCCTCCATGTTGATGTAAAATCCATTAAGTCCGCGTTACGGTTTTAGTCTGTCGATTTCAGAATGTCTAATTCGTATACCTACTTACTAAGATGATATAAGACTGCGGTATTTAATTTTTGCCAAATACAACCCATGCTTAGTACATGGTGTTTAAACTTAAAATGTATTTTCTTATCAGCCCGGCAGACGTAGAGCACCATTACAACCACCACGAAGAAGTTAGTAAATTTTACAAGAACCCGGCTAATTTCACCAAATACCAACTACAACGGAACAGATGGCGCTAGCGTAGCAGGTTTTACTTGGACATTAGAGACACCCCCCATCTTTAGCCTCCCCGTGACCACGGCTACTGCAAAGCATCTAAAACGTCAGGCCGTAGTTAAAATAATTTTCAATTAAGTTCAACGAATATATTTCACGTTTTAATTCATTAAAGTGTTTTATTTAAATAATTAGTTGTCTAAGTTACCTACGGTCCCACAAATAAATAAACGCTATTGATCTATATTGGACAGCAATTTTTCCGCGATTACACTATATTGATGCAACGTAATTTCGTATAACGTACGTAATACGATGGGCACATAAGGCCAATATATCTATATAAAATATAACAAAATTACCTCAGTCGATTTTCAGCTTTATTCCTTTCGAAATGAGACTATAATTCTTTGAAGGATGAATAATAAAGAACTATGGATTTATTAGACGAATGCTAAAAGGTCTCTGAACGATATTAAGTTATTAAGTTTGCTATCTTGCTTTTAGAATTCCCATTTATTTTCGATAGCGGAGTTCAATAACTCTAATGGGTTGACTTTTAATGCGTTTTTAAGATTAGCTACTGGTTAGGCTAGAGGAATTGATTAATTTGAGTCTATATTCATTATATATAGTTATATACTTTGGTAGGAGAGCGACGGGCTTGTTGTAATAGAGGTAATTTGTAACAGATTCTTTTCACTACGATCACAATTTTCGTAGTTCTTTAACTTTAACCAGTAAATCGCGTCATGTAGTAGCAGTGTCCACGTGGGCGCGTTTTTTGCCATATTATATAAGAATCTACTGACGTAAAAATTGTATGCAATTGTTTTAGACCATCTATGTTTTATTTACATCAATATGTAACAAGTTTTAAGATTGTTATATCAATGAAGCACCTATTTACTTACCCTGATATACCTATGTTAATAAGGGTGTTAGTTATAACAAAATCTTAGTTGTATAGTGTCAGCCCATACATCATAACATAGGGCATAGTCATTGTGTAGAAACGAAGTTGAATTTACGTTAGGATATCCGCTTCTGATACCTATCGCACCAGGAGAAGGAATTGACTTAAACCGACCAGTAAGGAATAAGCACCCCGGGATCTTCATAG